AACCAATTCAAAGCCAAAAATTCCAGAATACTCAGAGGGAACCGATTCCCCCCCCATAGGAGGAACCGATTCCCCCCTGAATGGTTTGGCTCCGAGATTTCCAGAATGCTCGGAGGGAACCGATTCCCCCCAAGGGGGTACCGATTCCCCCCTGTTCAACGGTCGAAATATTTGAATTTTACACTTAGGGAACCGATTCCCTATGATAGGGAACCGATTCCCCCCACTGTCCAAGCTGTTTTATTAAATGTTTTCACACTAAAACGGCTATAATATCTTCTCTAATTATCCCCAACGTTCAGAAGTGATTCAAGGTATATTTAAGCAAGCTTAGAAGCCATTGATCAACAACAAGAAACATCAAGCAACTAGAATCAAGAGAGAATCAAAGAGAAAGCATCAAACCTCAAGTTTGAGCATTTCAAGCCCATTTTCATTCAATATTCATTTTGCTTTCAAGAACACTTTTTGTGCTCAATTGTATTCATCTTTGAGTGTTCTTTTCTTTGTTCTAGAATTGTGCAAACATCTTACCTTGTGAGGTTTTCTTGTAAGTTTGCAAATTTGTAATCTTCTCTTTGAGAAAAGAGTGTTCTCAAGAGTTGGGGTATACTCTTGAGAGAATTGTAAGGTTATCTCTTTGGCCTCAAAAGAAAGAACAAATTAGTGAATTTGTTGGAAAATCCTTAGTGTGGATAGCTAAGGTAGTGGACGTAGACTTTGTTTGAGAAAGTCGAACCACTGTAAATCGCTGTGCAATTGCTTTCAATTTTCTGCAAAAGCTTCCACAAAATTTTTATTGCCAATTCACCCCCCTCTTGGCCAATTTCGTCATTCGATTAACTCAACAATTATCCTCGTAAAATTTTATAAATTTGCATTTTAAAGTTTAAAAAAAATCCATATATGATATTTCATTGGTCTTCTATATTTATGTTTAATTAGTTTCATTGGATTTAGACAGGTCACGGGGCTGTCTTGTAAACACCAATGAATAAATACAACATTTTCCTAATCAAATGTCATAATGACCATTAAGAAGCTGAAATCCACGAGAAAAGAATCTTGTATAGTGAAGCATAGATTTGGAGATCAATTTATTTTTTCAAGTTTAATTTACTAATTGACTTAATTATAATAAAAAATTATTTATTGTCGTTAATATATTATTAAAAATTATATTAATTCAGCGTGACATATAGAATGTGATGGGTGAATCGATTATAACCATTAGCCAGTTTGATTTTTACGTACGCCAGTAAATGAACAGAACGAACACGAACGAATATATGTTCATATTCGTTTGTTTAACTTTAATCGAATAAATGAATGAACACGAACATAAATAAATGAAAAATTTCTTGTTCGTGTTCGTTCATTTAAATGATAAACGAACACAAATGAACGAACATAAACGAACATAAACGAACACAATAAACGAACGTAAACGAACACAAGTGAACGAACTTAAACGAACACAATAAATGAACATAAATGATCGTAAACAAACATAAATGAAAATATATTTTTTTCTTTCCTAACAATTTTAGGATTATATTTTATTTAATAGTTTTGAGCTTTTTTTATTTGTATTTAAAATTAATTGATTTTTAAAATATTTATGGGTATCAAATTAAAATTTATTGGACTTTAATATTTTAAATGGGTCTAGAGAGACTGTGTTAAACATAAATGAACGCACATAAACAAACATAAACGAATGAAAATAAGCGAACATAAACGAGCATAAATGAATGAATATAAACGAACATATTACCGAACGTTCACGAACGTAAATGAACGAACGAGCGCTCTGTTCACGTTCGTTCATTTAATTAAACGAACACAAAATATTGATCATGTTCGTTCGTTTAATAAATAAATGAACATAAATGAACTTCCCGCCGAACTGTTCACGAATGGTCCGTTGAACATTCGGTTCGTTACAGGCCTATTTTTACGGTATCATGTCTGTAAGTAGGGATAGGGATAGACCAAGTCAGTTCAAATTTTCGATCAACTCAATTCGACCCAAAAATATAACCCTCAACCCAAACCTCGATTCTATCCGACTTAAGGGGTGACTTCACCCAACTTGAACTTGATCCAATTTTTTGGTGTAAAACCCGAACTAGACCTGACTCGAAATAAATATATTTATAAAAAATATTATTTTTATTCAATAAAATAGGGATCTAATTGAAAAAATAATATATATAGTGTTATTATTGTAATTATTCATAAATATATATGGGTTGGTCGGATATTTTTTATCCTAAATCTGAATCAAACCCGACCCGAATATATTTTCTAAAAAAAATTAACCCTATCAAATAGGGTTGAGATACATCGGGTTCGAGTCTTGCATCCATCCCTATCTATAAGAATGGATCGAAGGAGGAACATATGGATATCGTCATCCTTTTTAAAATTTAAATTATCTTATATTTAAATATTTATTTATATTTTTTTTATTAATAATTTATTTTGATTCTCGTAAAATTTTATTTTAAAATTTGAAAAAATGATCTTTCTTTGTTCATTATTGGATTTAGACAGGCCACGCGGCTGTCTTGTAAACACCAATGAATAAATACAACGTTTTCCTAATCAAATGTCAGAATGAGCATTAAGAAGTTGAAATCCACGAGAAAAGAATCTTGTATAGTGGAACATAGATTTGGAGATCAATTTATTTATTAAAGTGTAATTTATTAATTGACTTAATTGAAATAAAAATTATTTATTGTCGTTAATATACTATTTATAAAAAAATAATAGTGGATATGAATATATATCATTAGTACTGAATAGCGGTGAATGATACACAATATTTCTTCTTAGAACGTATTAATTTGACCCCATAGATGGGATCACCACCCCATAACATGTTACCGTCAAAAATAGAACCCGTATGTATTCTAGAGAATCTCTTAATTGTTTCAAAGCAAGAAAGAGATTTTTTAATCAGAAAGAATTTAGTTCAGATATATAATATCTATCCAGAAGTTTTTGCAACTCAATCATGTAAATCTTGTACAGAAAAAGAGATATTTATAGGTTCAAATTAGTTATTTAAAAAAATTATCAAAAAATTTATTTAAATTTCAAGGTTTGTCTTGCTTCTAGCACGTTCAATGACAGTAGACGACTTACAAATTGGATTTGAAACGAAAATATTATATTTAAATATCGATAGAATTTAGGTTTTGATATGGGTATTGACAATTTTATTCAAATATCATCCAAAAAAAATTATTACATCATCCTTTTACTGATGTGTACCAAATTAACACTCTTTTACTGATGTGGGTAAAATACGTGTTTCAGGAGATGAGCTTTTCAATGATTTTTTTTATCCACAACAAAAAAACTCTTGAAAAGCTCATCCTCTGAAACGCGTCTTTCATAAAACCTTGAAAATTTTACCACCAAAATGCGTAATCCTCTTATATCATCCTAAAACAAAAAACAAAAAACAATTTAAATATCGATAGAATTTAGGTTTTGATACAGGTATTGGTAATTTTATTCAAATATCATCATAAAACAAAAAACATCATTACAACATTTTTTTGGGTATCAAATAAACATTCTTTACGGACATGAATGAAAGGCGTGTTTCAGGAGATGAGTTTTTCAAGAATTTTTATCCATATCAGTAAAATCCTTGGAAAGCTCGTCCTCTGAAACGTGCCTTTCATCTACATCAGCAAGACCTATGAAAAGTTCGTTCCCCTAAAACACACTTTTCATAAAACCCTTGGAAAGTTTATCAGAAATGCGCCTTCTTCTTATTTTATCAGAAAGGATGCTAGTTTGATACATATTCGAGAAAAGATGCACCGTGCATCCCATTATTTGAGAAAAATGATTAAATTAAATTTAATGTATTAAGAATAAATAAATAAATAATTTGCATACCTATTAATTTTTAAAAAAAAAATTAAAATTTTGAACATTCATTCTTAAATTTTTAAATATATCACTGCATCTAGTTATTAGAGATGGTGAGTGGACCCAAATCCAACTCGAGAATTATATCTCTTTATTTACATTGAATTTAATTTAAATTTAGAAATGTTATGTTTAATTTAAAAATAGATTTAATTTATAAGATAAAAAATTATACTTAATACGATCTAACATAAATATATATTTTTCTAAAAAATTATTTGAGATAATTATAATATTTTCTAACGTCAATTTGATTTGTATTTTTCATCATAAATCTAAACTCGACTCATTTTATACTTGAAAATATATTAATCCAACTTGACCTAAATATAAACTAAAAAATAATAATATTATCAAATTAGATAAATCAAAACTCGTCATATTTGAATTAATGATAAATTATGCGTTTAATATTTAAACTGTCAGTTTTGATTTATTTAATACTTAAACTTTCATTTTTTTTAACTATAACTAATGGTTAGTTTTTGTTTTATTCTAGTAATTCGTTGTTAAACACTTAACGACACTGCAGTTTTTATGGGTAAATTATATCATTAATAACTCAACTATCTCCTCACTCATATTTTGATAATAAATTCTAATTTTTTTTTAATTTAACTACTCAACTTTCAAATTATTCATATTTTAATCACTCTAATTTATTTTATGAATAATTTTTGTGACATGAATTTTTTTATTATTTTATTAATATATAATTAAAATAAATAATTAAATTTGAAAGTTAAGTAATTGAATTAAAAAGTTTAAACTTTACTAACCAAAATAGGAGTGAGAAGATAATTAAGTGATAAATGATACAATTTACCTAAAAAAAAGTTCCACATGTGGATCACCCATAAATTTGTAACGGTAAGAAATTAAAACGAAACAAAAACTATACATTATATCTGATTTTGAAAAAATTAAAAGTTTAAATACTAAAATATGAAAAAATAGTTTATGTAATAAACTATAATTAACCTTAAATCAAATTGTTGATCTCTAATGGTCATCACATTCCCATTATAAATAAAGTATGCGTTTCTTTTGTGCTCCTTGAGCTATACAAAGGAGTAAGCTAAGTCGTAGTTCCTTCTTGTTTTCCTAATCATGACGGCTTCATTTCGTAGTTCAGAACCGGTTCGGAGTAGGCCGGAAACCCAAGCTGTTTTCGAAGTTGAAAGACGTAATCCGATACAAGCTAGTAACACTGGCGCCCGGAGTAACCTGTTCATGGAGGGTGGCTGCGTTTCATTGACTTGGGACGATTTGTGGGTCACGGTTGCCGGAGGAAGATCGATCCTTCGGGGATTAACAGGCTACGCCCGCCCCGGAGAGCTCTTGGCAATAATGGGTCCTTCCGGTTGTGGCAAGTCCACGCTTCTCGACACCTTAGCTGGTAAAAATTCATTAAACCGCATATGTTCCATGAAAATTCATTCATGGTGAGAAGAACAGATGATCAGTTTTTCATTTACAGGGAGACTTGGTCCAAACACAAGGCAAGCAGGAGATATTCTCATCAATGGCCGTAAACAAGCCTTGGCTTATGGAACATCAGTAAGAAGAAGATAGAAATCAACAAAAACAATAAATTTTGATCAAAAAAGTTTTTTTTTCATACAAATCATATTTACTGCAGGCGTATGTAACCCAAGACGACGCATTGATCACCACACTGACCGTACGCGAATCTGTTTACTACTCGGCTCAGCTTCAACTGCCTGATACAATGACGAGATCGGAGAAGAAAGAGAGAGCCGAGATGACAATAAGAGAAATGGGATTGCAAGACGCCATGGATATTCGGATCGGTGGGTGGGGAGCTAAAGGGCTGAGCGGTGGCCAAAAGAGGAGAGTCAGCATTTGCATTGGGATCCTCACAAAACCAAAGCTTCTGTTCCTCGATGAACCCACCAGTGGGCTCGACAGTGCCGCTTCTTACTATGTTATGAGCAGAATAGCCAGCTTGAACCAGAAGGATGAAACTGGAAGAACGATCGTTGCTTCCATTCATCAGCCTAGCTTTGAAGTGTTTCAACTCTTCACCAATCTATACCTTTTATCTGCAGGCAAAACAGTCTACTTCGGTCCTCTTTCTGCAGCAAATGAAGTATATCATTCTCCTTTTCCTAGTACCATAATCCCACATGGAATTGGCGTAACAATTAACATACTAATCTGTCTTGTTTTCTAAAATATGGTCCAGTTTTTTGCTTTGAATGGATTCCCATGCCCCAATCTCCAGAATCCATCAGATCACTTCCTCAAAACCATAAATAAGGATTTCGACAAGGTATGATCCGACCCTTTACTCTAAACGACTTTTTTCATCACAAATCTCGAAAAGACTAATATCGCGTACGATCTTAGGATATCGAGCTAGGATACGCGAATGGTATCCCGACAGAGGAAGTAATCGATATCCTGGTGAAGTCATACAAGTCTTCTGATGTGTATCAAATGGTTCAGTATGAGATTGCTCAGATTTGTAAACAGGTTGGGTTAATAGCAGCAACTCATTCTTTTTTCTTTTTTCTTTTTCTGTATGGAATGACAAATAAAAGATACTCCATATTGTAAGGGTGGGGAAGCGTTGGAGAAAAACAAAGGGCAGGCTAAGTTCTTCACCCAGTGCCATGTCCTGACTAGAAGATCTTTCACTAACATGTCTCGTGATCTCGGCTACTATTGGATGCGTCTGTGTATCTATGTCGCGTTATCCGCTGTCCTCGGCACCGTGTTTAGCCACATCGGGATGGGCGACGGATCGATTCAGGCTAGAGGTTCACTGCTAATGTTTGTGGCATCATTTCTAACCTTCATGGCCATTGGTGGATTCCCTTCTTTTGTCGAGGAAATGAAGGTTTGTGATTGTTTTCATCGAACTTTACTAGACGATCATCTCGTCGGTCCATCGAATTTTAATTTTTGTTATCGTTTTAGATATTCGAACGCGAAAGACTAAACGGGCACTACGGAGTGACTGCCTTTGTCATTGCAAACACATTATCTGCACTGCCATTCTTGGCAATGGTGGCACTGATTCCAGGCGCAATTACTTACTTCCTCCCGGGACTTCACAAGGGATATCAACACTTCTTGTTCTTCGTAACCATATTATTCGCTTGCATGATGTTGGTCGAGAGCTTGATGATGATCGTCGCGAGTTTGGTACCGAATTTCCTGATGGGAATCATAGTCGGTGCCGGAATTCAAGGCCTAATGATATTGGTCGGCGGATTCTTCCGATTACCGACCGATCTTCCGAAGCCAGTTTTTAAATATCCCTTGTACCACATCGCCTTCCACAAGTATGCTTTCCAGGGATTGTTCAAGAACGAGTTTGAAGGCACGACATTCCCTAATGCACAAGGTGGAACGATCAGTGGTGAAGAAATCTTGAATCAAACATGGCACTTAGAAATGGGATACTCCAAGTGGGTCGATCTTGCTATCTTGTTCGGAATGGTCGTGCTCTATCGGCTTTTGTTCTCGGTCATCGTCAAGACGACCGAGAAGGTGAAACCGATGGTCGTGAAATTCCGGTCGGCGGCTCACAAGGAAAGAGTGCAGGCCATGGTAAATCCATCGGCCGCACCTCCTGATGAAGAGAAGAGACAGTGCCAGTAATCACTTTCAAGATAATTTCGCTAGGGAAATCGTTACCGAGTTTATGAAATGTAATATTAACTTTGTTATTATCATAAAGTTACTGTTTTGAAGTTAAAGACTCATTTCCTATAACGTAATACGTTTAATTTTTATTTTTAAGAATAATTAGATTAATTGAGTTTGATGGTTAAAATTAAAAAAAATTAAAAATAAAAGATTTAAACTTTAAATATAGATTGGAAAATAGGAATGAAAGATAAAAATAAATAAAGATTCCTCGTACATTTTTATGTAGTTGCATGTCTTAAATTATTACCCGCCAGCTTTTAGTATTGGTTTGAACGTTGAAACATGCGGATACGACCACTAAATGTAGAGTTCAAATCGGAAAGAAACAGGTTCTATATTAGGGTAAACTATACCACCCAACTATAATCCCTTTTATTTTGACAATAATTTTTGAATTCTTATCAATTAAGTCACCTAATTATTTAAATACATTTAATCAAACCACTAACTGATAACTAAAAAATTTAGTATAATTACACGTTTAACTACCATATCATTACTTTCGTTGACAATAATTATTCCTAATTTAGTAACCATGCATGCACAATGGTGGGGTTCATAAGATTTAAATCCCTTAGACAATAGATTTAACTCTTTACACACTCTTCAAAATTAAGGGAGAACATGAGATACTTCCTAGGGACGGAACAATGACTAAATATTAGTAGGATCAAAATATATATTAGATCTTTTTAAAAAATATAATGGTTTATTAAGTATTTAAATTCAAAAATTAAAAGATAATGTTTAATTTATCTAATATCTAAGACCTAAATTGTTATTAGACCAAAAGACTTGAGAATATTGGATTATTCTTCTTTAGTTCGACTACTACTTAATTAAATATTTAATAAATTTTGTAATTTTTTTAAATTTGAATATTCAAGTATTTAGTTTCTCTACTTTTAATTAAAAAAATATTTTATGTGTTCTTTTGATTTAATAATTATAGTTTAATTGCCTCCTCCGGAATTATATTGACAACATGAGCAGAATGTTTTCTTTATGAAAATATATATAATCTAATTTAATGAAATTGCTTATAATTAGATTTCAATTATTAAATTAAATAGTGGATGAACTAAATTCTTTGTATTAAAAATAAAAGGAATTAAACTTCAAATGCACAAAATATATAGGAATTAGAGTATAATTTTTGGATTAATAATTTTTTATTAGCATGCGATAATTATAAGATAATATATGTTTAAAAAACTCTTAATCATTTAACAATGAACACTCAAATACCCTTACAAAAATTATACTCGAGTCCATAATCTCTAAATATAATAATTACACTTTTAACCATTAAGGTCGCTTAACTCGTGTTTATATTAATATTTTTTATTAAGAATGCAAGACATAACGATTACTAGACAAACTTAGGGTGAATTTTATCATTATATATATTTTATTCTAAGATTATATTGCCGGAGATATATCAGGTGATGCATTGTTCGTTTCTTTGTGGATCTTACAAAAACAGAATTTTGCATTATATTTCTTAGAGTGGATTATATTTTGGTTGATCAAAGATACCCTCATTACTACTTAGATATTCTATCATGACTAAACCTACCATTATCTTAGGCATATAATAAACATATACATAAGTGTATGTTCGTATTAGGGGATTCAAATTAATCCGTTACCGTTAATTGTAACTGTTATAAAGGTTAACTGACTGTTTAGACTAAACGGTAAAGTTAACCAACCATGAACACTCCTAATTAATTGATATGTATGCATGGATGTATGTCTCGTAGGCATCATTGTTATTTCTTTTCTCTTTCGGTCCTGCATATATGTATATGTTTTATGCATGCATGTATAGGCATCATTGTTATTTCTTTTCATTTTCAGCCCTGGTGGGCGGCGTTTTGTATCATGTAAAGAAGTCTCTTCACAGTCGTGGGCTGTTTGTTGCGAGGTGACCTCGGTCATGGGCTTGCAGTCCGTGATAATCTTTGCTTGGGTTGTTTTCAGACTGATTTAGCTGTAATAACTCAGAAAGCGATTAAAGCCGCACGTTCGAGTCGTTGAAGTTCGAAAGGTGTGACAAGTGGTTTTACTTATATGTTAAATTTGCATATACTGGCACTTTTGGGGCTTTGGACACCATATTTTCTTACATATGAGATTTCATTGAAGAAGCTACTTCAATGTTTTATGTTATCTATGTGTAACAGCAGGGAGAAGATGGTTTACGCAGCATCGACGAGGGGCATGACAATCTGACAGAATTCAATTTTTTTAAGGAAAATTATTTTTATTTTTACCGTTAGTTTCAATCATTCATCCTCACTTGTTCAATCATTAAAAAAATACAAAATTTAAAATTTTTATAGATGATGGTAAATTTTACCTCATTTATTTATTTAGAGAGGTAAAAAAATTTTACTGTTAATCTCAATCATTCATTCTCACTTGTTCAATAATTAAAAAAATACAAAATTAATTTTTTTATAGGTGAGAGTGAATTTTACCTCATATATTTACTTAGAGAGGTAGAATCTCTTAACCAAATAAAAAACTTAAAAGATTATATATATATATGTATATAATCCGTTAACACAATATAAAGCTTAAAAATTGTATATATATTTTTGAAATATTAAATAAGTGTAATTGTATGACTTAAATTTATAGTATAAAATGAAGATATTTTCAAAAATAAGAATGAATTATTTTAATTTAAAAAAAATAATGTAACATCCCAAATTCCGGGGTAGCAATTTCGAGTTTATCAGAGAGGTATGTGGACCTTGTGAATTTCATAATTTAAGTCGTTGGATTTAATTGGGTTGGAATTGAGCCCAATTATCCATAAAAGAGATATTTTTGAATGGTAGAAAGATGAGAAGGGACCAAAAACATAATTACCCCCATTTTAAAAGATGATAGCTTTTATATCTCTCATTTCATCTTCTTCCCTTCATTTTTTCTTCTTCCTTTCTCCACCTTTTCTTCTCCATTCTTCCACCCAAGTACCATAGCTCAAAGGTAAGTTCTTAAGCCTCTTTCATACTTCAATTTCGCTCCTAATCCCTCTAGCAACATCATTTTAATGATTCAAAACCTTGAGCTATTTGTTTATAAGAAAAGTGGGGTTTTATCATCTAAATCTTGGTGGAGGGTGATTGCTAGCTAAAGGAGCTTAATTTTTGGATTCTTTATCCAAGGTAGTGTATTTCTAATCATTTGGAGTGTTAAGGCTTTCATAAATATGAATAATTGCAAAGATTTGTGTAGTTGAGCATATTAGGGTTTAAACTTGATTTCATGATTTAATTACGTTTTATATGTAAATTTTTATGCAACTTTAAAGCCCTAAGTAATATCCTAAAGCTTTATCATGAGATTAAGAATCAAACTAAGACATTTAGGATGAATTTTGGGTGTTTCTCGAGCCTAAACAAGTTATTTCTGGGTTTGAGTATCGATACTAGATGAACAATATCGATATTGGATGAATTGGGGCAAAATTTAGGATTTTCCAATAGGGAGCATTGATACTGAGGATGGGAGTATCGATATTGATCCCTTGGTATCGATAATGAAGCTTTTAGTATCGATATTGAATGCTCGGAATCAATACTAGGTTCTCAGTATAGATACCCTTGGTCTCCGTATCGAATAAACTGGTATACATACCGAAGATCGGATATTCATATTAAAGGCTTGATATCAATACCCAAAGTGGTTGAGTGACTTCAAGATGTTAAATAGACTCAAGAGTGAGGACCTTAATATCGATCGAGATCGAGCATCTATTTCGGGTGTGAGAGATTACTAAAATGCCTTTAGGGGATGTAAATTACCAAATTACCCTTATGGGTCTCGTAGTGAGTAACTAAGAATGAAATATCATTATAGAGGGTATATCGGAAAACAATATGACAAATTAATCAAATTACAAAATAGAGGAATCATGTACTATTAGCATGTTAATGAACCGAGGACATACAATTGTTCATCCGATTCAACGGAAAATTAAGGGAAAGTGTGGTAAGAGTGACTAGAGTATTGCTACCAAGTAATGAACCCGAGTCAGATATCGAGCAACTAACTAATACAACCAACAACAAACACAATAATCATCGTAGAATCACGGAATGCGTAGAGACTTATCTAGAGACAAAGAATGACTAAAATGCCCTTAAGTAATGAATGAACAAAATAGACCAACTTAATAACTAACATCAACAATAAACCCTTGCATAACGTTCTAGATGAGAGAACGAGCGAGATAACAAATACTGAGAGGATGACCTCACTTTAGTATGTCCAACTATGCTACAGTGTAGACAGATTACCTTAGTTGCCCTAATAGGGCATTGTCAATGCACGAGGCACTTCAGTGGTTAACTAGGGCGCGAGGCCTAAACACTCACGAGGAGTGGGTTAGTAATGTTAGTGTTGTGCGATCTTTGGGCCCTTAGTCATGCATGTATAGTTGCATCAGTCCAGTAAAACATATATCTTAAATCTTGACTTGAAGGTTATGTGAGACCGAGCCAATGCTTCAGTTGAGCGGGAATTGTACCAATGCTATGTTACACCGAGTTCCCCCTCCATGATCTACCTGATGGCTATGTAAGACTAGGAGATTAGTCAAAACCTTAGTGAAAATTTCATCGATGCTATGTGACATGGGTTTTCTTAGTTAACTAGTTTTTGATGACTATGTGAGACTAGATACTAGTCAGGGTTGCATTCAAACAATGAACAATAAAGTCGGTGTTAAATTCAGATAATGCACAAGAGTGTCAGTGTTGCATTCAGATAATGCGGAGGAGTGTCTTAGTCTACAGAAGGCTCATAATTACCAGTCTCAAAGTTAACCCTTGAAACAGGTTTATTCAACAAATTTTCTGCAACTTTGGCCAGATTCTTCAGATTTTCCTTGGTTGAAACATCCACAGAGGAAAGCTCCCCTTTCAGCTTATCATCCTGTATGATTAGTTAATTCAGTTAAATCAGTGATAAAATTTGAAGCAAGAATATTACTGCTTGAAGATGACTTATTTAAACCTGGATGCGGAGATAATTCTTCTCGGAACTCAAAGCTTTGAAAACAACGGAAATGTGAAAATCAACCATATGCCTTCACTGAACGCGTTGATTAATGGGGTAGAACCGCCGGAGATTAACCAACCGATTACACCCCATCGTGCCGCTTGCTTTGCTGTGTATTTCTCTGTAAGTTTTTCTGAGCCTGTTCCCAAGGATAGCACCAAGAATCTGTTGTAATGATCTGCTGCTTTAATGCATGAGAAATCGGAATGCCCTTTGTTTATCTGTTTTGTCACTTCACCAATGGCAACTAAAGCCTGTGAAATTCAGTAAGTGTTAGTCACACATCCCATACTTAAACACATAATTGCCAGTTAATAGTTTTGTGGTGTGTTACCGGATTATTAGCAGCGACCCCACCGTCGATAAGATTGAACTTCTTAACCTTTCCATTAGTGTCTTCTGTTTCAAAATAATGGACAGGAAGATAAGTTGGAGCAGCTGAAGTTCCAATGCAAATATCCGACAGTAAGGCATTCAGGTCTGGATATTTCTTCACCTAAAGAAGAATGGTTAAATCAGTATATCTATAGAATAGTGTATAAAAACTTGATATCAATACCAACATCATAAGTGGAAACAATTAACGTCCACATCAACAGAAATTAAATGCTCTGTTAGTCAAGAAAGTCCACCTTGATGAAATTAAACAATTTCAAAGGCAAAATTGATGTGAAAATACGATAGAAATGAAATTGATAAATTTAATCTACTGTTGGGGGCAACCGTGACCCTTAAGCCATAATTTAATAATTTCTAACCAATAAAATTGTCTTATAATATCCAATAAATAATGCTTTCAAATAATTATGAATGTTATTTATTTATAATAATTAAATAATTTCCTACAATAGAATTATCTCACCATCCCAACCAAGTATTTTTGTGGATATAACAATCGAGTTTAATTGACTAGAAACCTAGCGCACCATGACGAACCTTGTCTACATGTGATACAAGAGCAAATACTGCCTACTCTGGCTTTGTAAGGAGGATGGAGGCCGAAGAAATGAGAATGTTTCGATGAGCATTTGGTAGGACTCTGTGGGACATGACACCAAACTCTGCTATTAGGACGTCCTTGGGGGTGGTGATTGTATCCGAAAAATTGAGAGAGGGAAGACTACGGTGGTTTGGGCATGTCCTTAGGCGACAATCGTCGGATACGGTCGGAGGGTAGAGTTGATTACAGTCGACGGTGCCAGAAGGAGATGACGACCAATGCGGAAGTGGGAAGACTGCTTGAGATCTGACTTGAAGGATTTAGCCCTTACCGAGGACATGACCTCTGATAGGAAAGTATGGAGACTTAAGATCAGGGTAGCCGAGTAGTGCGGGTCACAGTTATAGGTTATAACATCTATGTCTTCTTTTTAATGCATTTGTAGTAATTTACTGACTTCTACTTTCTTCACGTTTCTGTCATTGGAATTTATGAAGGCTTAGATCTAAGGTAGCGGAATAGTGTTGCCTTAGTTTAGGTTTTAACACATTTGACTTTACTCATTCTCGTAGCTTGCTATCGTTGGCTTCTGTATATCCTTCTCTCCATGTTTCCTCTTTTTAAATTTAGTCGGATCTTACGTTTCTGTTTATATTGCAGAGATTTTTATGCATGGATTTATTTGCAGGGATTACTTCTCATTACAGACGCGCATAAGAAGACTGCTTATAAAAAAACGGTCAACTATTTATTTATTTATTTATTTATACATGCATTGTATTTTATTTTTATTTATAATTTTTATGACTGCCGGAGGTCTTCTACGGAAGCTGCTTTCAACCTGATGTTGGGAACAACCTACTACCCTACCTCTCTCTTACCCCATTGCACATGAGAATAGGGTTTCGTTATTGTCGTTGGCTTTGTAATAATAGTTTATACCATCACGTGTTTATCATGTATTATATTTATATCATATAGATTTCGACATGTTTGTGTCATGTCTAATGTTACCGTAAATACTGCAAGCATCCCATCCTCTTATAATCTGATTAAGACTATAATAATATTCGAATCAAGATCAAAATAATATATATTTACAAGGAATAATTGTACCATGATGACCAATAGTCCTATCCTTGTATCATACAAGATGATTCTTCTGGTTCACATCTTCAATGGAGGGGTAAGAGTTTGCGAGAATCGGTACACCAGCGAGAATACGAAGCATGGAGGTTCGGCCAGTCGGATGACGGGCAATAAGCGAAATGGTGCAGCCATAGGGAGAGTACCTGCTCTTGCTCCTCGTGTTCTAGCCTTTCTATGGTCTCTTCCAAGACCTTCTCTAGCTCGGCTCTTTCCCCGATGCCGAGCACCGGCACATGGATGCCATTGCTAGCTCGGCAGAGCAATGGCAGCCATGACTTTAACAACTTCATCTTCGTTTCCCTCCAGTTATCCTCGTTGCCTTCTCCGGTCCCGTCCGGTGCCATATCCATCTCCATTGCCCTTGCTTGTTTGAACAAGAAGGCTGCACATTTGAATCACCAGACGGAAAAAACTAGGAGCATCAGTGTAATATTTCAAAATTTTCGAACACATTCGGATTTGACATCGAACAATTTAGTACAAGCATTCCAACAACACTATCAATTGACATCATATCCGTAAATCAGTGTCTCAATGTAATATTTCTCAAGATCATCGCAAAATTGAAACATCCGTGATATTAAAACATAATACATCTATGATCGGGACTGCGATCGTAATTTAATACTATGATCGGCATTCTTATTCAAATCTAGCAAAGAAGAAAGGGGGAAACGTACCGGAAATCTTAACGAGGGAACCCTGAACCCGTGGCTCAGACGAAAGAGAAAGCGAAGCCAGATTTGAAGCCGACGCCCACCGCTCAACAGCATCTTCCACAAACCCACAAGCAACCATCTTCTCCGCCAACCAAAGAAGCTCAGCCGCCAGCTTCTCCGCCGAATTCCCAGACCGGTTCACATCCTCTCTCCCGTTCCCGTTCCCGTTCCCTCCTCCCCTGGACCAAGCCCCATCCCCAACTGATCGAACCGTCCTCAAAACCCTCTTCACCAAATACTGAACCGGAGCAGGTCCGGCGCCGTCTAGAAAACCAACCCTATCTTGCCCCGATTCAACCATCGCAGCCTCAAGGTAGCAAAGGGTCCTCGAAAAAGCCGAAGACAAAACCGACCGGTTCACTTCACGCAAACCGTGGGTATCCGCCCTACGATTCTCTTCTATAAGTCTCTCGGCTAAAGATCGAACAATCGCGTACTTCCTCGAACTAACGGGAACATCATTAACAATAGTCAGTACCTGCAACAGAGCTCGAGCAATCCCGGAATCGTCAACTCCAGAAGCAACCGCGTAACGATCGTTCCCTTTCAAGGGATCAAACGTAGAAAACTGGGGTTGGGATTTAGGGGGTAAATCGGAGACGAAAAGAAAAGAAAGTAAGCGAAGGAAGAGGAGAAAAGACGAAATAAGAACGTAGCGTATGATTTCAAGAGGCTTGAATCTTTCGGCTAAGTTGAAGAACGATTTGTCGGCATAAATGAACGCTGAAGACGCCATGGACCGGAGGAGCAAAGGGGATATGATGGATGGTGCGTTGTCCATCATGTCCGTGTCCGTGTCCATGATGGTCTTTTCTACTTCTGGGGAGGAGAGGAGGGGAGGGGAGGATTAAGTTTTCGTATCAATGGAGAGAATATTCGAGATGGGGAAGAAGGAAGGAAGAAAGAACAGAGATTTTGGTGTTTGTGTTTTGTCTGAAAGTGCGTGATTTTAGTGGTGAATTAGGGATTGGTGGGCTGGAAATGGAAATTGATGATTTGCTTCCATATTTAGTTGGTGGTTTCGTGGGCTAATATGATACTACAGGCAGAATCATCATATGAATCACGAATGCCTGATTCATCAACCCAATTCCGTAATTTGATTCTTTTGGGAGTGTATTCATTATTAACAAGATTTTCTTTTTCAATTTTTTATATTCTCATCAAATTAATTATATAATAAATTTCTTATGATAATTGCTTTTTAACGTAATTTGTTTAATGAATTTAAGCATGTTTAACTCGCAACGTCAGAATTCAAAATTTTAATTTTATTTAAAAAACCTAATATTTTTTATCGCTAGACAAACTAATAATTGATTAATTTCGTCATTTATTTAACCTTCGAAAATATAAATTTTGTTCTTCACGAATCTCTACAAGTTTAGTGTTGTAGTAATTATATTTGACCTACCGATCAAGTTGCTCATATTTATTCTCTTAAATTCCTTTAGGTCATAGATTCTACACGAGTGCTATCTTTCTTTCCCCTAGAGTCTCCTTCCCCTCTCCTCAAATAAGATTAAGGTTATATTTAAAACTTATCAGAAAAATTGGAAAAATTACACATTTAGCATATAAATTACAATTTTGATCCGTTTTAATACCTAAACTTTCATTTTTTCCCAAATCACACCTAAAATTTAATTTTTATTTCATTGGTACCTGCCATTAAAAACTTTCGTTTTTGTTTCATTAGTATCCCATCGTTCAAAATTTAACGTTAAATTAAAAAAAATTGATTGGATACTAAAACAAACCAAAATTGTTAGTTTAGGTACTAAACGCATTAAGTTTTTAAAGGCGAGACACTAAAATGAAATGAAAATTAAGCATTAGGTATGGTTTTGAAAAAAAATAAAAATTTAGGTACTAAAATAGACCAAAACTGATAGTCTAGATACGTTACCCCCAAAAAATAATTTATTGTTCTAATTTTTCACTAAACAATACTAAACTCAATGAAGGAATATTCCAATTATATAAACTTGAAATAAGAAAGACGGGTAAAAACTCTAGTAACTTCTTCAAAATGAGTAAAAATATTCTTTGTTCGAAACAAGTCATGTAAACGATTAAAAATTTACTGCGAGTAAAATTAGTTTGTTGCTAACTCGTATAGTAAGATGTTCGTAGAAATAATAAGGAATCCTAGCAAAGATGGAATAAAACTTTGAGATTACATTTTTTTTCCTTTTTCAACATGAATATAGCACTTGAATAAGTTCTCATTGCATAGGTGACTCTCAATGGCATTGAACAAATCCAACATATATTGATTACAAAGAAACAATGTGTCCAAAACTAAAATTACGGCCAAAACCTGCAACAGCCGGCACCCTCTAAACAAGATGTGCTTTTGCACTTCGATTTTCAGTTTATCCAAAGGGCCGACTTTGCACAAAGATTGCGCATATCTTAAATCGGCGTTCTTTCATATTCGTTAGACAAGATAAGAAGCAGAGAAGGGGAGTATCAACTAACCAGTTTTCTTAATCTTCTCTCTGCAAGGTTAGCAACTTTATTTTGTGGCTCTAGAACCAGAGCGTGTTTGAAATCTGCAAATGCCACAAACAAACCGCTGCTTAAACTATGATGCATGGGGTTGAATTCAAAAACTATTAGATGCAAATAGATCGCGACCTGAGCAAAGAAATTAGTTCTAGGATCAATTCTTAAACTATCTTCTTCTCTCTCACACTTACTACAGATTCGAACACCATATAAATGAGTTTGGGCTCCAAACAAAGGGTAAATCTGTTTGCACCCATACATGTCCACCACTATGTATCCGGGAAGAACTTTTGCAAGATGCTCCATAAAACTTATACCTTATGTATGATTCTATTATACCCGCATCAGGTAGGAAACCCAGTATGAACAAATGGACCTACCAAAATGACGAGGAATAGGAATTCTATTATGTAAACTAATTTTCCCATCTTTATCCCAAATTAGGAAGTCCAAACACTTCATAATTTAGATGAAGAGAAGGAAATAAAAGAAAAGCCTGAAATGCATAATTAGTTGTATTTCATCAATAATTTTAGTCATATGGGTGGAAATGAGTCTCTTATCACAGGCAAAGGATAATAAGCACCATAAAGTATACTCACCTTGAAGGGCCTCTTTATAACAGAGTAGTGACTCTCTGGCCGTCCCACGTCTCAGATATGCCTTCACATTCTGCACAAAAGTGCAGCAGCTTTTTTCTCATGTGTGCATAAAAAAGCTCAACATTTGAAGTTTAAAAGATAGCTATTTCATTGAAGGGCACCATTGACCGTCAGTCCGTCACATGTTTTCTAAAGTCTAAATTACCTTTTTTCAAGTGATATTGCCTTATTGCAGTCCTCTTCAGCTTGCTGGAAGCTGCATATACGAAAATCATTTTCTTTTCGGAGGTATGTGAACTGAAGTGAAAGAAGGCAATAAAAAGTGGCAAAAATCTTAGAGACACTATACCATCCTAGTTCCAAGTAAGCTGCTGCCCGGTTGTTATAGTATGTCGCATTTGTCTCATTCAACTTAATAGCTTCACTGTAGTAATTAACTGCCTTGTTCCATTGCTTTCCCTTAAATGCAGCATTTCCCTGAGATGGAACTTGTCATTAAAAAAACTTATAACAGCAGATCTTTCCTAGACTAAAACTCAAAGCAAACAGAACGTACTACTTTAAATCATAACCAGTTCTGATTCTCCATACACCGAAACTTAAAAAAAATGTCTACTAGGATTTTATGCCGAAAATTCTACTTTTGATTCTGGTCACAGTTGCTGTTAATAAACTTAAGAAGAAATGACATATCACAAACACAAAAGAGGCTTGGATGCCACATTGCTCAGAAAAGTTGCAACATAAAAAAGAAGTTGAACAAGTGATACGCAAGAAATAGCAGTTATCCATAATTTCTTTACAGGTTCAAGAACTCAACCATCCAAGTAACAAGGCATTTTTCCTATTGTTTCTCGTCTAGTGTAAAACAACTTACAAATGGGAAACAATACAAATATACAAACTATGACATCATTCGGACAAGTTATAATCAGATAAGGTGCAAACTGACTCCATCAATAAAAAACTCCATGGCACTGTTCACATTGGCAGAAATTTTGTTTAGCAAATCAAACAATTTAGATATTGGGAGATGTTGGTAAAACCTTTTCCTTCAAGAGTTCAGAAGCATCCATATTACCATTGACATCAGGCAATGGTGCTGAATTGGATGCAATGCTCACTTGGTCTTGCAGAGAAGCGTACATATCCAAAACTGTATCAAGAAGAAATTTATCTGCTCCATGGTATGTGACAAAGGAAAACAGAAATAGGACAGCCATCATGCTTTCCTAATGGAACAGAGACCTGGAAAAAGCACGTAAGGTTAAATAAATGACTGATATCGAAGCTAGAAAACAACATACAAGATTGAAAACTTAAGCCTGGTACATCAAAAGCCACCTGACAGCCCCCAGACATGCTAGCAATGCTCAATAATGTGCATGCTCTGTCATGAAACTCCGTGGAATGCCCTTTCTTTGAATTAAGCTTTAGTGGAGGATCTACAATTGTGGGAATCACTAATATCCCATCATCCTGAAACAAAGAGGACAACTTGGTTATGTGAAAGTGAGATCATCCAATTCCAGGACATGTCCTATCATCCTAGCATTTTGGGCCCATGAAAGTAAAACCTAAATTAAACAGTGTTATGCTGCTAATGTACATCAGCCACTTAATATATATAAATTTTGATTCAATCAATTCTAGCAATCTCGTGTACCATTCTTCTGGCCGGTTCTATCATTTATTTATGGCAACAATTTCTCAAATATCAAGTTTGAGGTTCAGGATCTTAATAAGATAGTTGCTCCTGTTTCATATTAAAAAAAGCAAAATCTATGTTTTCATTTAAAAGTACAAGGCGAGATCATTCTAAGAAGTTGTCATAGCAACAAAGCTGTCCTGCCAATAAAAAGGGAAACTTATTTGTATTATTGTATTGGCTGAAATTCTTATCAAAAACAGAAACAGTAATTAACTATAACAATGGGTTAGAAAAAGCTTAACACCTTATGAGTGGAAACAAAATTGAACCAAAAGAAAAGGGGAAGTAGGAGAAGAATCTGCAACACCTTTAGAAGACTTTGCACAGCAGCCCGCATCTCAGTCTTGACTTTGTACATATTTTTTATATTTTCATACGTAGTGTTGATTGCAGCAAGAACACGATGAGAAACCTCAGGTCCTAGTCTTGGTTTTACATCTTTAAACCATTCTTCATGGTTTGTTTTAAACTCATATCTGAAAAGTAAAACAACAAGATTTTAGGAGTATTGGTCTGTCTACAAACCCAGAAACAAATATTCCACACAACAATGATTATTATAATATACCAATTCAAGGATTGCAACAAGTCAAGGTGGAAGAGGTATCTACTCCAGTATGTATATGACAAGTTATTCTCAAATACCTTTGTAATGACACCATCACAGAAGAAAGAGCTAGCAAAGCAGAAATTCCATTTTGTAGGTTTGTGGAATGTTGAAGAAAACCCTTCAGGCTAGGTACATTTGAAGCAATGAACTGAGAAAAGTTGGCATGCTTTGGAGGCTGGTCTGTGCAATTAACAAGAGATAGACACATCAAGAAGTATTCACACCATTGAAACAGGAGACCTAGTAGTAGACTATGACCAGGATTTCACACCAAAAAATATGCAACTGGTATGAAAAAAATTGAAGGCCATGCAACTTACATCCAGAAAGCGTTTCAACTGCTTTGCTAACAACATGCACCGTCTTTTGCCTGGGAACCTTTGAGAGCTGGAATAAGTCATCAGCAAAGACAAGCTGCCTTCCCCTTCTAGGTTCCACTGCTTTTAATTGAAGTAAAACATGTCCAACACGATGTAGAATAGATGCATCACGAGCAAA